GTGTGGTGCTCGGAAACCATCGTTGCTCACTGGGAGGAGCAGACCTAAACCGGGACTACGCGGATCCAAAACCGTGGAACAATCCTGTGATTTATTCGCTGAAACAACTTACTTATCACATCATTCATCGAGAACAGCGCCATGTGGCCCTTTTTTCCGATCTTCACGGACATTCACGTGCCAAAAACTTTCTTATCTACGGATGCACACGCCGCGCTGAGGTACAGGAGAGTAAATCCGCCGCTAAGAGATCAACGGCAACAGTGCCATCTTCAGCAGCAGCATTCCCTCCTAGCAATTGCGCATTAGATAGTCGTCGTCAAATGTCAACCAGCGCGGCTTCTGCGGTTTCTGCGGTTTCTGCCTCTTCTTCTGTGGAAAAAATTCTTCCGTGTTTTTTGAGTGTTCTTTCCCCTGCCTTTGCTATGTCACAGTGTTCTTTTACGGTGCATAAGAGCAAGCGGAATACAGGACGGGTTGTAATGTATCGAGAGTTTGGGATACGCATGAGTTATACACTGGAGGCAACCATGATGGGCGGGAAAGATGGACTTTTTTTTCAAAATGCAGGCGTTTTTTTGAAAAAGCCAACAGAAGATGTGCTTGGACTGCGGCAAGAAGTTGGAGGTGAAGAACTGGGAAGCGATGAGAAAATAAAGGCATCCATGGAAGAACCATGGCCCCAGGAGGTTTCTTACACCACTCTTCAGTATGAACATATGGGGGCGTTGCTGGTTCGCGGCCTCCATCTTCTCACAGTCAATAGTGAAGGCCCGAGCGCCGTCAAAAAGGAGGCAATTGAGCGTGCATGGTCGCTGATATCTGCAACTCTCGGAAATGTAGATGCACCCAATGCTCCAAGCTTAACGGTCATGGGCGGTTCGTATGCGTTTTCAACGCGGAAGGAGCGTCGCCTGGAGGCGAAGAAGGTAAGGAAAGAGAAGACGACTGCTACTTCCACGTTGCTGTCGATAGAGCAGCGAAGAGAGCTACTGCGCACGCTATTTGTTCGGCCAAAGGTGCCATATGCGCAACCGATGGATATCGGACCCGTTTTCTTGGGAAGTGACAGTGACGATGAGGAGTCAGAGACCTGGGAAAGTGAGAATGAAGATGACGTGGAAGAAAAAGAAAATGTGTCTCGACAAGAAAGTGATGGTGATGATGAAACTGACGGAGTTGATGATGACAATGACGACGACGACGACGATGATGATGATGATGATGATGATGATGGTGCATACGAGGATGAGGAACTTACGTCCTCTGAGGTTGATGGGGCCTACTTCCAAGAGTAAGGGAAGCTTTTCATTTAGCAGACAACGAAAATCATTAAAACCTTCTCTATATATGTGTTTACACCACCGTGTTTTTATGTAAATAAGTGAATACTCTTTTGACCTAATTTTTGATGAGTTTCTTTTTATCAAAAGAAAACATATATATATATATGCTTATGGCATGTGTGTCCATTGATTCATCTTTAAAAAATTTTTATTTCATTTTATTTTGTTTTCCTTTAACGTATTTGCGTTGTCATGCATTCTTCTAAATGCCGCAGTTTGTTCACATAGCGACACGCTGGAAGAAATCATGGACGGAGATTGGCTTCGCACCCCCTCTTTTGGGGCAGTCGGCCCAACTATTGGTGGTGACGGTGTGGCACGAGATAAAACTGCAAAAATGGACGAGGCGGCAAACGGTGGCTTTTCGCCGAGTGACGGACCAGGAGTTTTTGTAGGTATTGGTATCAGCAGCATTGCTGCCTACGTGATTTACGCGATGTACCGTGGAAGTCGAAGGGGAACACCACAACTCTTTTGGACCACCCCATCCGTGAGAAAGTCACGACCACCGTCTAATTGTAATGGAGAAGTGAGTAATGATGCAGATGATCATGTCATGCGACCGAGTCTAATACTAGTGAATTTTCCTAAACAGATGTGGGGTTTGTTTGAACGATCTTTACGGCCGCTGATAAATGCTGAGGAGTTGGAACTGCAGGACGCACGTGTTGCGTTTTTTCATGATGTCACGGAAATCACACCAAACAACTTGGAGGCCGTTGTTCGCCAAGAGGTGCTTTTGGCCTTTGAAGATTTGAGGGGGAATCCCTGTGCGGTTTACCGCTCTGTTTTGGCAGTGGATGGAGAGCCGATAAATCCTTTTTGGGGAGCTGAAGAAGCGGTGAAGGCGTCACGAGGACGTGCACTGCTTGAGCGCCACTGTGTTGGCTATACCGTAGACGGTGGTCGGGTGGAGATTCTTTCCCACGATACGGAGGGGATGGTGGGAGCTGTCAATGATTTTTCCTCTCCAATGAAAACGGATCTCCATCTGGATGACGTGGATGATGCGTTGCGACGTTGTTTTTGCGCGACAGCGCGGTCCTTTTCTTTAGGCAAAGAAAAAAGATGGGATGCCATGGGAGACTTCTCCTCTCGGGATCCTGGGAAGTCCATCAGCGGCCCATACGCTCGATCCTTTGGGGTATTGTGGTTGAGTCCTGTGCCACTCTTTGCAATGCTTGGGGCGGCTTTGCGTTACAGCTGCGCGGAGTTTGATGGTTGGAGAAGGCTTTCTGAACCAGACAATGACGCATCGTCTCCTTTTTGGATGTTAAGGCGAGTGTGGCACTGGTGGCGTGAGCGAAAAGAGTCAAAATTGGTTGTGAAAAAGTATGAAGGCCACCCAGGGGATAAATTTATTGTGGAGATTGAATCTCTTCAAGATCTAACGTGTATTGAGACAACTTATAGTGATCTTTTAAAGGATGCTTTGAAAGGGGCACGGCAATTCGGTGTTGATATGGAAACTATTGAAATAGATACATTTCCTTCCGCTGTTGGTACGGTCTTACGCTGCTCGTTGCGTCCCGGCCTCACTGTATTTCAGGCACTGCGGGAGACATGGAGACTTACGGCGTTGGTATCATGCCTCAAGTGTGACGTGCAAAAATTCCGTCTTCTTGTTGCTGTTAGGCTTCCAGAGGTGTCTAATTCAAGAGCGAATGTGAGAGACGCCCATGCGTCCTGGCCACATGTTCGGGTTTTTCCGGTGTCAAGAGAAGAGGCGGAGTCGTTTCGTCCGTCATTTTTTTCTTCCGCACAGTACTTTCGTCTGCTGAAAGACGATGATTGCGTGGAGCCAGCGGAGGCGTTTCGGCGCATTCAAGAAGGGAATTTACACCAGTTGTGTTACGTTGTCGCGGAATACGTGACAGGGGATTTTGAAAGTTATTTGGAGGAGTGTGCAGGAGACGGAGGTGTAAATAAGGCGATTTGACAGTTTTCAATTGTTTTTGGCTGCTGAAGTTTGTTGATTTTATCCCTATTATTATTTTTTGTTGTTGTTGCTGTTTCTGTTTTTATCAGGCTTTATTTTCCCCCTTTATCATGTTTTTTTTTTTTTTTTTTTTTTTTTTCCTCTCTCCTCTTCCTGCATTTATTTTTGTTGCCTTTGTGCCTTCAAAAGAGAGGGAGAAAACACAACATCACCTTCCTGGAAAGGAAACAAAAAAAAGGAAGATTCCAGTTGCTTTTGTGTTCTGTTTTTTTTTTTTTATATATAATTATTTTATACTTTTTCTGCATGCACGCCAAATTGCTGGGTATCTCCACCCCTGAGAAGGGGCGACCGCAGGAGATGGAAATGTACGTTCCTGATGAGGAGGTTGACTGGACGAGCGATGCGTACAACCGGCTATATGGCGAGCGGCCGCCACAAAACAGGCTTAATAACTGCACTTATCATCGTTTCAGCACGGCATGCTTCTCCGCTTTTTTAATTCTCCTGGGTGTCGCTATGTCTGCTGTCATTGCCATTGGGGGGAGCAAATCAAAGGAACTGAATTTCTGTCATGACTGCAAAACTTTGATTCTTTTTCTGCTAGTTCCCGGAATATTCTTTGTGGTTATGGGAATCGTGGGCGGAGTCTCGGCATGGCGAGAGACAAAAATTTGTTCTGCATTATTCTCTCTGCTTCTTGTAATAGCGGCCTTTGTGGTTCTTGGGACAGGTGTGACGGTTGTGATCGCGTACACTCAAGTGGTTTCGTCCGATGACTCCTTGGCTCTTTACTGGGAGCGAGCTGTGTCGAATACCCCAAGCAGAATATGCGACTTGCAATGTTGGCTACATTGCTCGGGGTTTGCCTCTACTCACTGTTGTGTCAGCAACGTGACGGCAGAGCGTTTGCCCGATGTCTCCCCCTGCTATTTGCTCGCCGAGGACGGAGTGACGACGCTTGACCCGAATACACTACAGCCTGTTTCTTGGCCGTCGCTCACATGTGCACCCAGGTGCAATTCATCGAACATTTACAACGCCACATGCAAGGAACCACTTCAAGAATTTTTCATGAACCTTTTTCCTCTCACAACTGGAGGGCTTTTTGCCCTTGGATTAGTGTTCCTTGGCTTTGCGTCTCTTGCCGTGTATCGCATTACTGTCACAGGAGGGAGAACTTCTTACCTCCGTTACGAATATTGAAGAATTGGTCTTTCTATTTAAGTAAGTGTTGGAAAAGCGAAAAAAAAAAAGAAAGTTGTCGGACTGACATGCGCCTCAAGGGCAGCCGTAGTAAGAATTAGGAATTTTTCAAGTTTTTTTTTTCTTTCTTCTTTTGGGAGGGTGGGGGTAACAACTCGCACCTCCCCACAATATTTTTTTCTCCTTGTGCTTGTGTTTTTCTTTGGACGTTATTTCCCCGCGCCCTTATTTTGACTGCAGGAGCTGGGAGGGGAATAATGACCCGATGAGAAGATGTGGGATTGTACGAGAAGATAGAGGAGAGAATGGGAGGAGGAGAGCGAGGGCAAGTCAATGCATGTACGTGGGATTGTGTTTCCTTGTCTGTTCTTTTCCCCTCTCAGCGAAGGCCAACCAGCAGACGAAGAGTGGACAATAAACGAAAGAATATATCTATATATATATATATACGTATCTGTTGTCCCTCATTACTTCTTTTTAGGGTTTCTGCTTATGCGAATGTTTTTTTATTTCTTTTTTTATCGCGATGACGTTTGTTTATTGTGGCATCACCTCTATTTTTTTTTTTCTTTGTAATTTGCCCATTCCATGTTTTTTTTATTATTTATTTCTCTCTCTCTTTATGTATCGGTGTTTTTTTTTTCCTTTTCTTTTTCTTTGACTGATGATGAGGTACCATAAGGAGGAGGGACGCGTGGTGTGATGTATGCGGGGTAATGACGGGGTGCGAAGGAAATGTTCAACAAGCGACAGGGTCGCAGGGTCGCTTGTCGTCACGCTCACGGGATGTGTACATGCGCATGAAGCGTTTGCGCAGCCATGAGAGCGGTAGTGCGGAGGACACGGCCCCGCCTCGCCTGCGGATTTGTCTGGACAACAGGGGCGATGCTAACAGTGTGGTGAGGCGCGCACTTGGTGTTGTGGCCTCGCCATCGTCGACGTTGTTAAGCACAGAGCAGCGTCCGTGCGCGTTGCATTTTCGTTTGCTTTCAAAAGTGGGACTCTCAGCCTCCACAACAGATGATCCACGCGACACACACGACGAGGTCGTTCCCACACCAACGCCGCTGCTGTCTGTTGAGCGTTTATGGAACCTCCCTGGCTGCATGGTGGTGGACTGCACGACAGAGGAACGAAAGCGGGAGCCCAATTCACTTCCCATACTTGAAAAGAACGGTCGAAAGATTGACGGGAACGCCATTTCAACACGAGGTACAGAGGACTGGCTTCTCTACATTCTCGATAAGGATGTTGCGGCGGAGGAAGACGAACCGGAGGAACAAAAGGAGGGAGAAGGGGCAGTTGACGATGAATTTGGCTTTGACGACTTGATTATTACAAGACCTGAAGCGGACGGCGGGGCCGTCACGCCTAATTTTTGCTCAGGGAGGTACCGTGCGCATCGCAAGCGATGTCGCGATGACACGACACCAGAGTATATCTTGTCTTTGGGGCCACAGTCTGCAGAAGGTGGCGGTCGCACAGACGACTGCGAAGGGGAAATCTCACTTTATGCCATGCTGCGGGACCATGGGCAGGATCCTTTTCTGCTGGAGGAGGATGCTGGTTGCGAGCCGGAACTGTACATTTATCCCGACCATCGCAGGGATGATGAGTATGACAGCAACGCAGCAGACTTTTCGGGCAATGAGTACCCAGATGAACAGAGCACGAGTAGCAACGCGAGTGTGCGGACCGACTCAGAGGACGAGAATAACATGGTGCGACGCCCTAAGGGGTGTTACGGGGAATTGTGGTACGACGAGGATTACGCGGAGGCCTCCCTCAGCAGCGGCTGGAGCAGCCA